TGCTTAAAGATAGGCTGCTTGATGAACTTAGCCACTTAAAAGCTGTACGAAGAAACATGGCCATGGGTAGCAGGAACAAAAAGTTAATTCCATTAATAGTGATATGCTCCTTCCAATTAAAGCCACATCTCTCCAGAGGACTTGCTGGTAGCTAGCATCTACAGAGTAATTTTTTTCTTTTTTGTATTGGGGATCGAACTCAGGACCTTACATTTGCCAGGAGGCGCTATGCAGCTGAACTAAAGCCCCGGCCCTACAGTGTATTAAATGTATACTTTCTAGCCCAGAATCTGATTCACTTGTTCCCCACCTGTTGCCCTTTCCATTTTTCTAAGGTCAAAGAAAGAGCCTGACATGGCCATTATTTCTACTTGGAGGGAATAGCTCTTCTGGGGGGTTCAAAGAAGTTGTTCAGTGATATATTTCAAATAATATCCCTATAACATGAACTATTTCCTGCAGGCGTTGCTTTGACAGACTTCTAGTGCAAGTCTCTATTCGGGGAATGTAAGCCACCAATCAAATGGCTGGCTAAGACTTCTGCTGGCATCAAGGGCAGAGCACACAGCCAGGTGAAGTGGCAGATCATCTCCAGTCAGCAGGGTCTAATGAGCAATAGCTCCATTATCCAGTTTGCCAGTAACACTTCTGACGTGCTTTTTCTGTGGATCTCCATTTCCTCCATGTGTGGTTTCCTCTGTTCTTTCTTCTCCTCGCTATTTTGATCTGTGGAAACTTTTCTGAAAGTGATAAGCGTTTCTTTAAGGCCTGTTTTGTTCATTACTTTACCAGGTTAACCGGAGAATACCATACCGTTTCTCTCCAAGGTCTTTTCAAGGCATTCCACATCTCTAATCCAGGGGCACTACTTTTCTAGTTCAATGGCTTAGTTAAAAGTTTATCTTGGATTCATGCCACTACATCAGAGATGACATTCCCATAGGAGGACCCAAAAAGGAGAATGTTCAAGATTGTACAGGAAGAGCAGAGCATTTCAGAATGCTGACCTCACAGGGCTGTGGCCAAACAGACCTGGCTGTGTTTGTGAAGGTCCTGAAGACAACACCCATGAGATCGATTATTTTTATACAATATTAGTGATAGCCAAGCTTGTTTAATTCCCAAAGGAGAGAAGAAATCCCAAGAGTGTGTGCTATGTGAAAGAAATGAGTCTTAAAATAAGAAACATTGTCTTAGTTACTTCTTTCATTGTTGAGACAAAATACTCGGCACCCAAAGTTAAAGGAGGTTTATTTGGCTCAGTTTGTAGAGGTTTCAGTCCGTAGTCGGCTGGCTCCAAGGCAGTTAGGGCACGGCAGAGGGGCGTCACAGAGGAGAAACAGTTCATGGTGGGCAGTAGGTAGCAAAGCAACAAGGGACAAGACAGGCCTCTTTCTGTCCCTTATATTGTATCCAGGATACCAGGATTAGGGCGGTGCCAAACTGATCAGTGGTCTGATTGAGTAATCACCCACCCTTAATCCTAGCCTTGCACCCTGAATCAATCACACACCAAGATTCACCCACCTCTGAAAAAGCCCCACCTATGACCGCATGAAGCTTTGGGGACATCTAGACACAGCCATAACAGACGAGGATCTGACTTTCCTTGCCAAATACTTACTCAGAGGTTAATTATCTTCCAGGGAGTACTGATACAGTTCATAAGGAGAAGTTACTATGCTCATTCTTATAAAATAACAATTAGAACATTATTAACTGAGGACCGACTTGAAAGCCAGTTAAAGAAATATTTAGCCCAGTAGGAGAGAATGATTCAGCTTTATAAATATACAGTGCACTACACGCTCCCCTGCATTTGCGGTTACATTGCTTTTGGTCCTGAAATTATGTATTTGGGCTCTTCCTTTCCATGAGTCTCTCCAGAGATGATCCTCTCTATTCTTGTCAACTTCATTCACTCCTTCAAAAGTATTTCACCAACACCTTTTACGTGCCAAACATGGTATAAGGGGAATTCTCTTCCGTTCTGCAACATGCCAGGCCGTTCGAGGTGTTTTCTGATTAGTATTCATATTTTTCCAATCCTTCATTTTCTACCTTTCTGGGAGATTTTACTTCAGGTATGTCTCTTTTAAGTACCTTATAACTGAACTTTTTATAAAGGTGTACTTTGGAAACATCTCTTAATAAAAGAGCATAAAATACAGTAACATTTGTTGTGATCATGCATATATTTGAACTTATTTCTACCATCTGAAATTTTTTTCTATTTACCATTCTTTTTGTTTGTTAGTTTTTGAGACAGTTTCTCACTATGTAGTTGAGACTGACCTGGAATTCACTATGTAGCCCAGGCTGGTCTCGAACTCACAGCGATCCTCCTGCCTCAGCCTCCTGAGTGCTGGGATTACAGGCGTGCACCACGACGCCCGGCTTACCATTCATTTTGTTTTCCTGCCTTCCACCAGACTCATATATTTTCTACATTTCCCTTTTTTCCCTTTGTTGGTTTGAAACTTATATGTCAAATATTTAGTTCTTTTTTTCCCCTGAGAAAGTGCAAACTCATTCAGTATTTCTGTCCTACCCTTGAACACAGACCTGGCTATATATAAACTATCCATTGAATACTACTATTTCCCACATTCTGTCCTTGTTGTCTTAAGTGTATTATGTTCAGCAATTCTATTCATAGTTATAAACATTTATTGACATTTTTAGAAATTTGTTGTACTTCATGGTTTCTTGTCATTCAGAACTGCTAGGATCACTTTTTTTCCTTTTGGTACTGGAGATCAAACTTGGGACCTTGAGCTTGCGAGGCAGGCAGCAGCACCACTGAGCTAAATCCCTGGCCCTGGGTTTTTTATCCCATAGAGTTTTTCTAATTGTTTTAGCAAAGGTCTGTGCATGGTATGTTTTTAGACTTTGAGCATCTCAAGTTATTTTTCTTTTGCCTTCACTCTTGAATGACAACTCAGCTATGTATAAAGTTCTCTACGGTCTAGACTGAAAATCATTATTGAACACTTTGAAGCCAGTATCTATTGTCCTCTGGCGCCTGCTACTGCTGAGGAAAAGGATGTTGGAGCTCTGTGCACGCTCCTTTGTAGGTAAAGTCAGTTTTCTCTTAGGTGGTCTTTGAGACATCTCTTATGCTTAGTGTTCTGCAGTTTTGCTATGATGCATCTGGAGGCACATTTCTTTTGGTACATGGGATAAATTTTTTTAGTTGAGGACCCATCTTCAATTCTGGAAAATTTTTCTATATATGTACATATATAACAATGCTCATTTATTTATTCTTTCTGGTACTGGGGATTGAACTCAGGACCTTGCACTTGTGAGGCAGATGTGGTGTCTCCCCGGCCCTACAGTTATATTTCTTAAAGCAAATTCTATTATTGTTTGTCCACATTCTTTTTAAGTCTCTCTTCTTATAATCACATGTCAGGTTCCACAAGAGACTCCTATGAAACATGTGATATTCGTAACATGTCTGATTGTTCAAAAATGTTAATTTATCTATAAAGAATGTTCTAGTGATTGATTTTGTTGGCAGTCTTTCTTAGAATGACACTTATTCATGTGTTTCGGAATTTTGGTTCACAGGCTCACTCTGAATAGGAATCATTTTCTCACTTGTCTATTTGCTTATTCCTCCCCTCGCCCTGCCGGCTGGAGACTGCATAGCTGCCTATAACTGTACCCCTATAATCTCGTACCCCTGTCCACGGTCCACAGCCAGGCTTTGTGGTGACATTTCCGCACTCTTGCCTCAGTGGTACTTGAAATATAAGTCAATTCTGAGACATGAACGGTTCCAAGGGTATGTCACTGTCTTCCTGGCTCTGAAGGCTCACTGTCTCTAAACAAGGACGCAATCTCGGGCAGTGGGTCATTCTCCCATTAGGAGAGGCCAATGATATCTGGGGCTGCATAATTCTTTGTCAGGGAATGTCCTGTGATTGGCAGGACGTTCACAAGCATCCCTGGACTTTACCCACCGGACCTCACTACCCCATTACGGCAACCAAAAATGTCTCTTGATATTCATTCCAAATGTTCTCCATGGAGGCAAAATTGTCCCCAGGTGAAACTCGGTCTGATTTTCAAGTGTTGAGCCTGGCATTAGGCTCTCGCCTGGCAAGGCATTTTCAGGCCCCAAAGGCCATGGGAGCTGAACTCTAGGCTGCCACTAATGCTTCCAAAGCAGTTTGAACTTGGGGGCTGAAGAAATATTTAACCATTTCAAAGCATGTCCTGCTGGCAGTCTTTAATTTTTTTTTTAATCTATCCTTGCTATGTGGTTGAACCAGAGGGGAATAGTAAAGTATGAATTTTCGGAGCCAACCCAACCGAAAGTCACTAGATCCAAATCTAATCTCTTCTTTTGTTTGAAACAAAAGAAGCCCTTGCCTTCCAAACTTTTCAGTTATTAGTGTTTAGGAAATCAGAATGTGTTTTAATGTCCAAGGTTCTGCTAGCTAGAACAAAATTACACTTAGAAAATCAACTTATAACAAAAAATGTGATTTCTTTTAATAGGGAACAACAGCATCAGCAGAGATGACAACTCTACCAACCAGCAGCATTACTGGACAAAACGTATGTTGGGGAAACATATTATCTCATTTAATCTTAAGAACAACCTCAAGATTACCTGCAATATTTTATAAAAATGAAACAGAAGCTCAGAGAGATCTCTAGACAACAGGCAATTAAGCAAAAGGGTCAGAATTCAAATCCAATTCCAGTTTCTGGGCTAATAACTGTCGCGCTCTCCTGCCTCCCCTGTGTTACCCTCCGTAGCACAGCTAATGATGAGATAATTATCAGCCATGCTTGAAGTACAGGTCTCGATGCAAACAGTGTCTCCGCCGCCCTCAACTCCACTCCCATCGCTCTATTCCATCTCGACCACCACTGCCATTCACGGAGAACTGAAGACAAAGGCCGTATCAAGGACCGGCCAGTGAACTTGTCTCCTATCTCAAAAATACATCTTAGGAAAGCAGGGATCTTGTCCGTCTTACCATCTGGCATCATGAGCCGTACCGAGAGCAAAGTAGGGCACCACGGGCCAATGGACATTCGGTACCTCTCTGATGGGACGGCGGAGATGAGCCATCTGTCCTTCTGAGCCCACAGGAAGAACGTCCATGAGGAAGAAGACAGGGATCTGCAGAGGTAGATGGCAGAGCGAGCGGAGAAGCGGAGGAGGGGCTGTCAGAAAAGAAGCACCAACTCGATAAACCAAAGCCCAATCTTGAATAAAAGGCAGGGCTTAGACTGAAGAGCGCGAAGGACATGGTGCAGAGGAGATCCATGAGCAGGGCAGAGCCATGGATGGGAAGCAGCCGGGGCAGCAGGCTGTGCACGGAGTCACAGTAAGGCCTCCCGCGTCAGAGCAAGCGCAGCTCACTCTGCAGGCGCTTCCGATTTCAAAGAAGGTCTGAAGAACCATGTGAGAGAGGACAACGAACAACTGTTTCCTAGGGCTAATCACATGTCCTATTTCTTTACGAAGAATCAATGTGGATATATTGTTCTACTTAGGCTGACTTTTTCTTCAAGAAGAACCAATTTTGATACTTTATAAAGTTTATAATGTTTTCAAAGTTTCCTTTCACTCAGCTTTCAAAGTGCAGTGGGTATACAGTTGTGCACAGTGTTCTCATAAATGTACGACCTCCCCTACATCCACTTTTCAAGTCTTTTTCTTAATTTTTTTTTTTGGTACCAGCGATCGAACTTGGGACCTTGTGGTTGTGAGGCAGGCAGTGGCACCACTGAGCTAAATCCCCGGCCCTCAAAAGAGGTTTTGAACTTAACTAATTTGGTTGCTTGCTTTTGGACTTTTACTTTGTTTGTTTTTCTTTTTTGTTTTTTTTGAGACAGGGTCTCACTATGTAGTTGAGACTGACCTGGAACTCACTGTGTAGCCCAGGCTGGTCTTGAACTCACAGCGATCCTCCTGCCTCAGCCTCCTGAGTGCTGGGATGACAGGCGTGCGCCACCACTCTCTAGGCTACCTTTGTGTCACTGTGCCTTTTCTAACTTTATGAGATGAAAGCTTAGCTCAGGGATGACAAATGCGTGCCATACTCACTCAGAGCTCTTGTGCATCCCTGAAAGTAGCAGACACTACTGATCTATCAAGGAGCTCAGAGAAACCCTCACCACACTCTGGGCAATCAGCTAAAGCCAGCATGTCACTTTTAGCCCATCTGCCACGTGTTCGTTGCTTCATTTCCTCTCAATCTTTCTGTATTTTAACATGAAAATGACAAAGATTATGAATTTACCTTTGAGTACATCTTTGGCTACATTTCACTTGATCTTAGCCAAAAGGCCGAGAATGACTACATTTAAAATACAAGTTCTACTCAAAACAATCAGTCCCCCCAAATATAAAGACCGGATTAAAAAATGGGCATCCGAAATGAAAAGACATTTCTCAGACAAAGAAGTAAAAGCAGCAAGAAAATATTTGAAAAAATGTTGCACATCACTGGTCATTCGAGAGATGCAGATGAAAACAACACTGAGATTCCACCTCACCCCACAAAGAATGGCTGCTATCAAGAAATCACACAATAACAAATGTTGGCGGGGTTGTGGGGAGAAAGGAACCCTTCTCCATTGCTGGTGGGAGTGCAGACTGGTGCAACCACTATGGAAATCAATATGGAGATACCTCAAAGAGCTTGGACTGGAGGTTCCATTTGACCCAGCCATCCCTCTGCTGGGTATCTTTCCACGAGAACTAAAAGAATCATATCACAGAGAAGTATGTGCACCCATGTTTATAGCAGCACAGTTTGTAATAGCTAAATCTTGGAAACAGCCTATTTGCCCATCCGTTGGAAACTGGATAAAGAAGTTGTGGTTTTTCTATAAAATGGAATATTACTCAGCCATAAAGAACGAGAAAATAGATTCATTCATAGGAAAATGGATACATATTGAAGATATACTCCTAAGTGAAATAAATAAGTCACACATGTGTAAATACCAAATAGTTTCCCTGGTGTGAATAATCTTCAGCAATGCATAAGATTCTAATAAGATTACTGACATTTAGAAATGGGAAGAAAGGAGCTAAAGGTGTAGGGAAGGTGTGATGGGTAGGGGAAGAACAAAAAGGGAAAAGAAAAAAATGTGAGAGAATGAAAAGATGAAAATAAAGTGTTTGTAGATGGGGAGGGGAGGAGGGGGTGAAGGGAGGGCAGAGGTAAGGGGAAAAAATGAGAATCAAGACTTGCCATGTAGAGGTACATGATCCCAACAATGAATGTAACTGTACTGTATCCCTAAAATGTACCAATAAACTCAATAAAATTAATAAATAAAAAAAAATACAAGTTCTACTGTGTATAATTCTTATTTTCAAATGAAGTATGGTTTTAGTCCAATTTACTCAATGTATCTAAATTTCCAAATTATTTGGGCATTATGGCCAGACTTAATATCTAATATACAAAGAAAAAGTCCTGCATAATTTCTTCTTTTTCAAGATTAATAATAGTCTTAAAACCATTCATTCCATGGGAGTTGGCAGGCCACAAAATTGTGTACCTATTAACTTATTATCCATGTTCAAAGGTCTTTGTTTCCTTATGGTAGCTCTAATTTGCCTATAGAAGTGATTATTCTCATTTTGGAAGTTGTGTTGGGTTGAATCTATCTTTTCTCTCAGCATTTTTACCTTTGTAAGCACTTTTCTCTCAATTTTTGGCACTTGTTTTTAATCTCATACATTTGATATTCATTCTCCAGGGACTACTTTCACTCGCTGTGGTCAGCCCAGTTTTTCATGTAGCAAGTTCTCATTTCCATGCAACCCTTCCTGATCTCTCACTGCCTTCCTATCATAGCTTTGATAGCTCTACACAAGGTACATTCTACTGGAATTGTTATGAAGACACATTAAGAATTTTCTAAAATGTTATTTTCTTTCTTGCTTAAATTTATTTCAGAACTTGGCAGAGTCTCTGAATCTTCTTTATGAAGCTTTCTTTTAATCCATTCCCAGGCCTCAAGATTTTTCAATCGTTGTTCATCCTTAGAGAAGAAAACATCAAGGGTCTATGATCATGGAGACGCTGATATGGATTTTAGGAGAGGTCAGTATAAATTCCTGCCCAAATCTTTTAAAAAGGAATTTTCACAGTCAGATAAGAAAGAAGGGAAGTGAGAGATGGGAAATATCCAGCAATTACATTACCATTTCCAACAACCATTTTAACATCCTAGGAAGTAGGGCTGAGTAGATTTCTGTCTTCCTGGGAGGCTGGCAATTTGGATGTCAGGCCTCACATATGGTAGGCAAGTACTCTACCACTGAGCTATATCCCCAGTCCTTAAGTTTTTATTTTGAGACTGTGTCTTTGCTCAGTTGCTCAGGCAGGCCTCAAATTTGTGACCCTACTACTTCCTCAGTTTCCTGAAAAGCTGGAATTGTGGTGCATATCTTCATGCCCAGCTAATAAAGATCTTAATTTAAGGCCAGGCGTGGTGGCGCATGCCTGTTATCCCAGCACTCAGGAGGCTGAGGCAGAAGGATCACTGTGAGTTCGAGACCAGCCTGTGCTACATAGTGAGTTCCAGGTCAGTCTCAACTACATAGTGAGACCCTGTCTCAAAAACAAGACAAAACAACAAAAAATACCTTAATTTAAATAACAAAGATATGAACCCCTAAAGGAAGATCCATCTTCCATGACTGTCCCATACCTTTCCACCCCACTGATCCATTCGGAACCACCATGGCAACTTTTGCTTTAGAACTGCTGCTGGTACCCATCTCTGGTGCCACTGTTCATGCCAGAAGCAAACTTTAGGGTCCCAAGGCCATCACTGAGGCCAAAACAACGAGGGCAATAGAGGAAAGACAGAATCTAAGCGGCAGACCTTCTGTCCAGGCCCTCGGAGTGAGAGGGTATTGTCTGGGATATTTCAGGTCTCCCCTCATTTCCTACACGGCACACTCACAGGAAGCTACGACATAAAAGCCCTCAACATTATTCCTCGGTCCTAGCACCCCCAGCATTCGGTGGCACTAACTCTTCCCCCTTCTGAGTACTTTATTGCTGGAAAAGGAGGACAGCTGAATTCCCAAGTGCTTACTTTGTATTTTCCCCAAAGCAACATTTTAGGACGATTAATCCACGTTTTGCTAAGCAGGTGTCTGTGAATGGGCTGGGAGGCAGTTTTGAAATCTGTGGTCTGCTGGGAAGCAGTAGGTAGTCAAAGGGCCAGTTCTGGCTCAGCCACTAACCAAACACGTGTGGACTTTGCTGCACTCACAGCCTTGCACTATCCCCTCCAGTACGAAAGCTACATAATTACATACTTTAGAAATGCTTGTTAGAGAACCCTGTACTTAGGGATGGCTATGCCACAGGTTCAATCATGTTTCTTTGAACTACACATAATAAGAAACTAAAAGATTGACAGGAAATGGTTAACATGACATCTTCTATGCTCACACCAAGAACTTCTGGACCATGGTGACTCCTGATTACTTTCCCCTACCATCTTCTCACTTTAATGACTCACAAGTAAAAAGGTATTTATTTATTTATTTTTGGTACCAGGGATCAAACTCAGGTCCTTGTGCTTGCAAGGCAGGCAGCAGAACCACTGAGCTAAATCCCTAGCCCTAAAAAGGTATTTATATTTACCTGTTTATTATTATGTTCTTCTGACAATCTGAGCATCTTTCATCACACTGCTGATCTGCCAAGTGGCCAGCTGTTCTGGTCATGTTAAGTGGCATTTGGCTTTGTGGGCTGTTTAGCTCTCAAAGCTTCCCTCCCTCCTAATTCCTAACAGCCTTTAACAAACACGACTGTCCTGGGTGCTGATGCAGAACAGCAGTCACCTTCTATTTCCTTGATGTACGCTAACCTAAGCTTTGGGTAAGGTAGGGCAATCCCAGCTCTGAAATGAAAAGCACAAGTAGAAAAGAAAAGTAATTCAGCTTGTGTTCCTCTTCTTCTTTCTCCTGTTGGTGCTGGGGATTGAACCTAGGGCCTAGTACATGCAAAGTGTGTACTCTGCCATGGATTACTGCTTCTTCAATGGTTTTCCTTCTCCGGAGAAGTCTCCCAGATTACAACAGCTTCGATCCAGCCCTTTAACATTCATCTGTAGTCTCTGAGTTTTGCTTATGTACCTGGCAAATCTTAATCTCCTTGTGTTTCTTTCTCCATGTTTCCTAGAGAGTACAATTCAGCTCTAGGAGAAAAGGTCACTTGATGGAAGAGACAGTGGGATGCATGTAGTTGCTCCTAAGCTATCACTCTAATTAGTTGAGCTGATTGCTTGGGAAAAAATGCTACAGACTGTTTTGAAAGGAGGATGTGAAGTGTTACAAACACTAGAGAGAAAAAAATCAAGAAAGGCCATTGGCACTATGGAAATATGAGAGAGAGAGAGAGAGAGAGAGAGAGAGAGAGAGAGAGAGGGAGGGAGGGAGGGAGAGGGAGGGGGGATAACTACAACAAGAACTGCTGCTGAGCTAAGAAGAGATAAGGAAAATGGCTGGAAAGCATTAGGATTTACACACAAATATGTCCATGAAAAAGCTTTCAACAGAGCTGACAGAAAACAAATTATTTTGTCTAATCAGTAGGGACAGTGATCCCTTTCTATTTTACAGATGGAAAAATGAATCCTTTAAAAGGAAAGTGACTTGAACAGTATCATGAAGAAATAAGACCCCATGGTCCTGATTCTCAATTCTCTTTGTACCAAAGTCCAAAACGACATTCCATTTTTATGTTCTATTGTTCTCCAAACTAAACCCTCTAGGATGTGGAAACTTTGATGCTCTTGGAAATTGCTTCTCTAATCTGTCTAATGGCAACTTCCGTGCTAAGAGAAGTTTGAAGTTCAACCCAAAAACACAGGGCTTGGCATGGTCAAAAGCTCATTACAACTTCTCATTAGTTGTGTCTCTTGGGGCAACCGTGGCATTCCTGAGTGTGACTCAGTACCACCAGTCATAACCAAGGGCTCCTGATGAATCCAAACTGAGCCAGAATAAAGGCCACAATAAGCAAAGCAGATGAAGCAACACATTTGTCAAGAAGTGAAACACTGCGGGAAAACTTCTCGAAACACCCTCTCAGGTAACAATCACAATAATACCTAAGACTCATTTAACATGCACTGTGTACGAGGCATTAAATTTGTGCTTGACATTAATTAATTCAGTCATTTCTCTTAAAGACTCTGTGAGGCAGAAGTGCTCTTATTCCTATTTTAAAAATAGGAAACCGAGTCACAGATGGTAAGGATCTCGTTACACTGGCTAGCAATAAGAATTACCCTAGAACAGTAAGAATCCATCAACAGAGAGCATCTTGATTTCAAGAGTCGTGAAAAGTCGCCTTTGATTAAAAATCACTTTATTTATCTATTTGGGTTTTTTGAGACAGGGTCTCACTATGCAGTTGAGACTGACCTGGAACTCACCATGTAGCCCAGGCTGGTCTCGAACTCACAGCGATCCTCCTACCTCAGCTTCCCGAGGGCTGGTATTACAGGCGTGCGCCACCACGCCCGGCTAAAGATCACTTTGTTGACCCAAATGAAGTACGGAGTTTAGTTCATAGTAACATAACAGTGACAGTTTCTTAGTATGGTTCATCGTCAAATGTCCCACGGCAGTATAAGAGGTTAACAGTGGCAAACCTGGAAGAAAAGTCCCTGGAAATCTCTACACTAGTCCCACAAATTTTCTGTAAATCTAAAATGAATATAAAATAAAATTTGTTTTTAAAAACTGGATAGTTCATAGTAGTTTTCTTTTGCCATTGAGGCAATTCAGAGATGCTATTATTTTTTTCTGAAAGAAGAATATCTGAAAATATTTGTGGGGCCTTCATGACCCTGGACATTTTACATGTAAAGGAGAGAAAGTTAAGGTCTTCATTAGTGCTAACTTAAGCTCTGCAGACTTGTGCTAGAGTTTTAAAGGCAAATTGGAAACTATTTCCTGGAACAACGCCTCAGAGCATGCCTTTTGATACTTGGATTATATTTCTTAAATTCTGAAGAAATCTTTGCTTTTTCCCCCCTTCCGTGCATTTTTGATGCTGAGCTGTTTCCGGTTTTCCCACACTCCTGCATGTCACAGAGAAGAAACCACAAAAATGTCCAAAGCAAAGTTTGTCCAGAGAGCTGCAATTCCATCTCAGGAGGCTGTAGAGTTCTCCTGCCAGCAGGGAGTTCAGGGCAGTGAGCAGCACCTTCGGATACCCAGTGCTGCTGCCTGAGCCCACCTCTCCACCAGCCCAGCGGCTCGCCACACAGGACACGCAGGCCACCGAGGGCCAGCTCAGGGAACTGGCGATGATGGGAGATTCCACAAGAAAGGCGCACACTGGCAGGCTACACATTCACTTCTGGCTCATTAATTTTCCCGTTAGCTGTGAGCTTTCCAAAGCTGTCGAGGGCAGTGTGGCTGTAGCATGTGCCTGGTGGTGACAAGGGCTCGCCGAGGTCTTCTGTGTGCCAGGACTCACTCTGTGTGCTTTATGTGTAGTAGCTCTGTTAACATTTATCAACCGACCTAGGAAATAATATTCTTATTGTTCCATTTTCATAAATGAGGAAACTTAGGCCAAGAGATCAAGTAACTTGTCAAAGAAGTAAAAGAGAAAAGTGTGGAGTGGGGATGTGAGTCTGGCTCCAGATCGGCTCAGGCCCTTAGGGATCTGACTCTTCTGTTTCTAGGGTAAGAGGGTACACAGCTTCCTTTCTCTTCTTCTCCCAGTATCCAACCACAAACTTCAACCTCCCTACCACCCTGTGCCACTGCTCCAGCGAGTTCTGAAGTCATCACAAGACCAATCATTCTTCACAGTGCTTGGTACTTAGCAGGCACTGAATAAATATGTGTTGGGTAAATGAATAATGGCAGCAATATGTTTCAAACAGCCACAAGGGATTATTTCCAATTCACAGCCAGAATTTGATTCATCTTCCCAGAGAAAAAAAATAGTACCTTATTTTTCCATGTCCTAGGATTCCTTTTTATAACTAAAACTGATCTTGTGAAGGACAAGTAAGTGAAGAGCCTTAATGAGAGCAAGAGAAATCCACAAATAACCTTCAGGTGTCCACACAGCAGAGACGCCTGCCTCTTCCAGGCTCTCTGAATGGTTCCTGATTTCAAGGTGAAGATAGGCTTACAATACTCCACCATGTCTTCCTCACTCACTGGGTTTACAAAGGGATGGTGGTAGAGTGAAACACTGTGGCCTATAACAATCTGATTCAGGCATGGAGATACCATTTTTGCTATAAAATAGGTGGACTATAAAAAGTACTGGAAATGTTGTTGCTACACAGAGTCTGTTGACTTGTATCAATAAAGTTAATCCTCAGAATGAAATCTCAATCCTTTGTGTTCCCATTCAACTGCCTAAACGTGAACAAACAACGCAGGGGAGGAGTGTGATGAATTTTATATGAAATTGAAATTACCTGATTCTGCAGAATGAGCAAGAGAAGAAACATAGAGGAAGACATTTTTCTTTCCTTTCGCTAGGCCCACAATTCAGGACCGTTACCTGGAAGGCTGTCTGACTGTAGCTCCTACAGAAACTGGTCAAGCTGGCTGGCAATGACCTTGACCTGTGCAGGCTGCTTTCATCACAACCACCTGGGGAATCTGAAGGAACAGCGGCTGCTCCTCCACTGGGAAGAGCCAGGCCACAATGCGATAGCTCCCCAGGTGATTCCAATTTGGAGTATTGCTTGAGGCCAAAGTTAGCCTCTGTTCCCCATCAGGTGTTCTGGTTTTCAATATTTCAGGACAAATGGTCTTGGAGTCTCCAGTGTCATTAGCTTAGAATTGATAGAACGTTGGAAAAACTGAACAGAAAATAATTCAAAACTTACTTGGAAGCCCTCTGGGATGTGACCTTTTTGAGCACTTGCTTATGATTGGCTGGGGGTTTGGGAACCAGGGAAGTGGAAGAACTTGGAGGTGGCACCACTTTTTGTGGCAGAGTGGTTGGCTTCTGGCCACTGGCTGTGGCACCTGAAATTCTGCAGCCTGCACCATTATTCATGGTCCATAAATTGGAGTTAGGTAGGATCTGGGTGCCAAAGATTGCCTATAAGAAAAAGAGAAACAATTTGCTATATGTAACTGGTTTGTAAACCTGAAGGGGCCAAAGGGAAAAGGGAAACAGTTACAGTAATTTTCAGGAAAAACTTCTCTCTTGCCAGTGCAGGTACAGATTCAAAGATGCAGAATCACTTGAAGCAGAGATGAAGGTGCAGTGGGCCAGGAATCTGGACACCTAGGTGGTATGATGGTCCATATGCATGAATTCAAAAAGCATTTTGTCTCTCTCAGTCTTAGCAGCCTTCATTATCACTTTCAACAATTTTTATTTATTAATTTTACCTTTTTGGTACTGGGGATCGAATTCAGGTCCTTGCGATTGCAAGGCAGGCAGTGGAACCACTGAGCTAAATCCCCAGCCCAACAATTTTTAAATGAGTATGTCCTACTGGGGTTAAGTACTAGAAATTGAGCACAGAGAAAAACTGACTTGAGTGTGATGAGACTCTGGCCTACTGCAGAGCTCTGAGCTCCTCTAGTGGGTCTGTATCGTTGAGGACAGGGAAGAAACCAGTGTGGCCAGGGAGCAGTGAGTAAATAAGACAGATGGCAGAGAGGGACTGGGGCAGAAACCAGAAGCCAGACTGTGCATGGTGCTAGGGCTATTTTGGAATTCTAGCATAATAACACCTTGTTGGCCTAAACATTAATGTAAGAGGGCCGGGGATTTAGCTCAGCGGTTCGGGGGCCTGCCTCGCAAGCGTAAGGACCCGAGTTCGATCCCCGGTACCAAAAAAAAAACTAAACAAACAAAAAAAGATTAATGTGAGATTACACATTTGAAAACACTTTCAAAGTAAAATTTCTACATGACTATGAATCACTCTATGAATACAAGATCAATACAAGGGTATTTCTGATAGAAGGTAGACCTACAAATAAAGATTGAAAAAAGATCATCTAAACATCACAAATGCCACATATATTTGTGGTTAAAGACGTGAAAGTATACTCCCTCAAAGAGATGCTTAAAAATTCCTACAGTACGTTTACTTCATTAAAAATCGTGTTTGTAAAAAAAACAATTTTTGAGGATCTCTGTGTCACAAATTTTGTTGCTGGTCCCTCGTTACTTTCATTATGTATGAATTATAGAAGCATAAATGCGGAGTCATAGTAAGAGAAGAATAATGTAACTGACAACACACACAGCACTTTTCATTTAAAGGACATCTTGAAATTGACTTCGATCTGTAGATGCAACATGTGAAGAGAGACGACAGAAATGTCACTTCTGCATGGCCGGGCTTGATGGAAGAAGAAGAGATGCTTTTAATCAACATGGGCCTCTGAACAGACTTCACTGATACTATTTTTGTCCTTTATGAATTTTGTTTCAGACTTAAAAGGTGAACGGAGTAGCTTTAGAAAAATGTCTACCAACCCCTCTCTCCTCATGCCCTGGGATGTCCCATTTCTGGGAAGCGAGTCCATGGGTCCTGGCTAGGGAGAAAAGGTGGGGTGGGATCTAAGGAGCTTATGTGGAGACAATGGTGTATGACTGAGACTCTGGACAATGAACAAAGGAACAGGATCTAAGCATTTGCAAACAGACCAATCTGACTGAGATGCTCCCCACCTCTGCAAACCACCTGAAAGAGAAACACGTAAGAACCAGAAGTCTCCTCGGTATCTCTGACCCTGCGAGAGCAACATCAGGAGAGCAGCATGGGTAAGTGTGTACATGTGAGATGGTGTAAGAGGCCAGATTTCTTTCAAAGTCCTTCTTTTCACTTTAAAACAAAGCTCTTCTTTTCACCCACTGTTTCCATATATGACGGCCTCAAAATATGCGAGAGAGACTTAACTAGAAAGGAGGAGGGAGGCAGGAATGGGCTACCACAGGCTGTTTTTTCCATTTTTACCATTACATCCTAACAAGCGAGCTTAGGCGGGAGGTGTTTGGAAGACGGCTTACTTGAGAGGGGTGAGGATCAGAACTCAGCATGAAGGCTGAAGAATCACTACTTAGAACTACAAGAATCATGATAGTAGACACAAAGTGAGAAAAAAATGAGGCCCAAAAGATATCAGAATGAGGGCTACGTTGAACTATCCATAAACAATTTCACTAGGTAAGTAGTACAGGAGGTAAAAAACAAAACAAAACAAAGCAAAACAACCTACTCTTAGTGAAAGAACTCTCTGAAATAAAAATATTCTTTACTGAGGTACATTTTTAATGCTGCAAGAGAATTGCTATGCTAAGATCATCTAGTCAATGTTACCTTGGAAATGACTTAACCATAATATATTTCCAAATTCATCAAGTTTTTATTTTCCTTTTTTTCAAAATATTTCTGGGACAGCTAAATAAAAATAACATCTAAATACAGACAAAGAAATAAATGAAGTGCAAGGTCCTGAGTTCCATCCATGGTGAAAAAAAGAAAGAAAGAAAAAGTAAATGAGAGGAACAAGTTTAAAACAGTGAGTCTAGAAGCTCCTATTTGTGTAAATAAAAAGAAAATACAAAAATACAAACACACACACACACACACACGCAGCATGTTAGTATTTGCATAAAAGAACTCTAGAAGGAGATACAAAAAAGCCTGATAATTTCCATGGAGAACTGGAAATTCTAGGGGGCAAAGTAGGAGGATGACTACTACTATTTACTATATATCACTTGCATCTTTTGAATTTGTATTGGGCGTGTATAATTACTACAAAAAGTCATTAAAAAGATTTTAAAAAGGTTGTCAAGTTCTAATAATACTTAAGCAGCTAACACATTAGTTCTGAGTCTAATTCAAAATATCCACATGAAGCCCAAATTTCAATTAGCTGGGTACAGGGTTCCCTACTAGAGGGGTTGAAGAAGGAAGGGACTGACATTCCAAATGGGCCATGCAAGGGCGGGATTCAGCTCAGTGGTTCCACCGCCTGCCTCACAAGCGCAAGGTCTCAAGTTTGATCCCCAGTACCAAAAGAAAAACAAACAAAAAAACAGGCCACGGAAGCAGAGGAGCTCATTGGTGAAAGGCAAAGGGACTCAGGGTAAGTGGAAAAGAAAAGGACTTTTTAGTCAAATGTGCCTGGGCTCAGATGTGGGCCTTGTTACTCACGGCTGGCAACCTTTTCAAGTTACTGAACATTTCTAAGCTTCATTTTTTTTTTTTCATAAAGCTCATATGATAATTACTTGCTGGATCGCTGGAGATTAAATGAAGATCTAGCCCCAGCATTCATTAAGAGTTTCTTGAAATAAAATACTGGGCACACAATAGACACTCAACAAGTGCTCCATTCCTTCCCTAATTTGTACTTTCGTTTGTTTGATTATTTATTTATTTATTTATTTTTGGTACTGGGAATCAAACTCAGGTCCTTGGTGCTTGCAAGGCAGGTGGTGGAATCACTGAGTTAAATCCCTGGCCCATCTACTTTAGTTTATCAATGAACCACAGGATCAGATGACATACAAGTCTACCTATCAGTGATCTTTTGCATATGGTAGGGGTTATGTATGTTTTCAACATATTTTTCTAGTCTTATGATGGTGCTCTCTAGCTGTGAAGGTAAGCCCTGGCGGCAATAGCCCTTTCCTCTTCTAAATGCTTATGAAGATTCATTTGTCTATCTCTTGTCATAGTTAGCACCTTCTATTTTGCTTTATAGCCACTTCCATATATACCTTTCTTCCCTTCTGACAACACACACTGGAAATTACTGGATTTGTGTATGTTTAACTTTTGTTTCATCCACAGCACCTTTAAGAATGCCCAGGTGTTTAATATTTACTCCACGAATGAAAAAATAAAAACAATATGCCAAATACTCAGCTCCTTTTTTTAAGTAAAAACTAAATTCCTATACAAGAAAATTCCTATATAAGAAAATGCGTATTTACATATAGATATAATCTTGGAGCAGGACCATTCTCTGGAGTTTGAGTAGTATCTACTGTGTTAATTTGTGTCTAACTCACACTCAGCATAATACAAGTTAAACCTCTTCCAATCCTGCACAAAAATAAGTTTACCCTCTAAATGTAAATTTTGTGGTAGTGCCTTATACACTGATGTCCAGTAAAAGGTTAAAGTTTATTCTAAGCCACAAAGCTAAGTTAGGAGAACCTATTGCTTGGGAGGCTGTCACTTGTGTGCATGCTATCACTTCTCCCTTTCTTTCCGATAATACTATTTTGATTCTGTTTGGGTAATAATGTGTGCCTAGCTAGGAAAAAAGTACATTTTCTACTCTTTTTCTTGTGCCTAGGGATAACCACAAGACGGTTTTAGCCAATGAGAGGTACAGAGAAGTTTCTGGGTCTGATTTTTAGGAAAGCTCTTTAAGAGCGGGTTTGACCCAACCCTTCCTTCTTATTCCCTCTGAACACAGACAGCTTGCCAGAGGTGGGAACAGGGCAAAAGCTCTTCTCTAAGGATTGCCAAGGACACAGACAGAAGGAACATGGATTTTGGAGGGCACTAGGAATCTTGGAGAGTCCATCTCTAGCTTTCTAAGTAAACGGGGGAGGATGTCTCTAAGTTGTTTAACCCATCAGTGGGATGGGAGGATGTCTTAGTTACTTTTTCTCATTGCTGAGACAAACAACTGGACATCAAAAGTTAGAGGAGGAAAGGTTTATTTCGGCTCACAGTCTGTAGAGGTTTCAGTCTATAGTTGGCTGGCTCCAAGTCAGGTTGGCATGGCAGAGGGGCATCACAGAAGAGAAATAGTTCATGGCAGGCAGAAGACAGAAAAAAGCAAGCACGAAAGCAAGCAAGCCTCTTCCTGTCCCTTATACCTTATCTTATCACACCATTAATGCTAGCATCCTTAATTCTAGCACTGCACCATGAATCAATCCCAGTGTCACACACTCTAGATCCAGCCACCTCTGAAAGCTCCACCTACAACAACATGAGGCTTGTGGGGAGACATCCAAACACAAGTCATAACAGAGGAGGTCCTGTTACATGCAGCCACACTGAATTCTAATATGAGAATTAATTCTCAATCTACCACAGGTTCAAG